TTTTTTTATGTTTCATTTAAAAGAAATCTCCTGTATAAAGTTACCACATGAAAGAATGCAACCAATATTAAAAGAGGCATCATAGTGATCTCTTGCTTAGCTCTCGCTTGCGGTCATGAATTCTCTCCTAATTCTACTTTCTATAGGACAGTTAGTACAGTATTCTAAGTCTGATACCTACATATAACAGATTGCTGTTAGATATTGTGTATGTAGAATTTCACAGTTGCAGCAGGTAGAAATTATAGCAATGTAAGATTATTCGGAGCATTGAGATTAAGCTGATTTTAATTGATTTCAGGAGCCAAGTGCTGTTATACCAATCCCCCTGCCTTATATTCTTCCTTTTCTAATGTTTGTCCATCTCCTACACGCGCTGCCTTGTGCTGTATAAATCACAGAGATCAAGTTAGGAATCCATTCGGTCCATCTGATATTCTTTGCACGGAGTTTTGCATCAGATATTCATGAGGGTGTGGGAGTCGGGAGGGTGTGAAGCTTGACTGGAGAACCAAAACACAATCTAGCGTGCCCTGACACGAGAGGAAAGCACAGATGTGCTCCTTCAGTCATTAGCCATGCATTACGGCTCATTGAAGGCAAGATTTCTAGGCCCAGTTAGCTCTATCTGTCAACTGCAGTGTCGATGACAGGATGAGAGTAGGCAGGGAAATAAGCCAGCCTTTGTTCTGTAGCGAGAGAACGTCACAAGCAACTAACTTATGAACAAGCGAGCTGGATGGTTTACCAATGCAGAGCAGGCATCCAGCACTCAGCAAGTGGCCAGGGCTCTACATCAGCTAACATACTGCTCACTGTACCATTCGCTTCTCCTAATGAAGAGTGCTTTTTAACTCAGCCGTGTCAGAAAATGGCACTGAATGCATTTTTCAAGGGATTTTCCAGTTACTTTATAAAGAGTGCTTTGCATTTTACACAGCAGCTTATCACTTCTAAACAAGCGTTTTGCGCAGGGAGTTACTTTGAAGTGTAGTGACTTATTCGGTGAGGCATGCATGGCACCAGAAAAGACCCCACTGATAGCGAGATGAATGTCCAATGAAGTGTTTTTGTAAATTTGGATGAGGGAGGAATATTGGCCAAAACATTAAAAAGATAATGCCGTGGAATCTCTAACATCCCCCCTGAAATAGCAGAATGTGCAGGTAGGACCATCAGTTAACACCTGTTCTGCTAGTGAACTTGAGCCCTCCCCCTCAGTAATATAAAGTGTGATTACCATGTCCTTGTCTCACAAGTATTCAAAAAGAACCGAACATTAAAATGGTTTCCATGTGCAACAAGTGAAATTATCTTAAGACTTTCCGGATTTTAAAGCAGTTTTCTTTTTCTTAAAAAATCAGTGATTTTTGTTTTCTATTTCTTACCCCACTGTCCCCTCCAAGCAGTTCTGCCTTTGATAGGATCTTTCCTGTTAATATTCTCTGATTTTTCTCAGCCGTTAAATGTATAATCCAGGCTGACACTCCCAACGCAGTGCTGGCGGTGGGCTGCATTGTTAGAGCTACCACCCTTCCGATGAGCTGTTAAACCTAAGTCCCTACACCAGACGGGTGCTGTGGTAAAGATCCAGTGTATCCTGTGATGTGTTTTGAGACGTTCTCCATATCAAATGCAAGGATTATTATTAATTATTAGTATTATTTTATTGAATAAAAAAAGATTTCCCTCCCTACGTTCAGATCTTGCCTGCCTGAATGGGATGAAACGTCATTGATGCAAAACCTGATCAAACCATTTACAGTTCGTGTGTCGAGTTAAAAAGAGCCTGAAAGCGTTGTTTCTGGTCTCTGATAAAAGAAAGGAGTGTTAGTAAAATGTTGACCTTGGGATAAGGTATGAACAGCATCGAACACACTGCACCTTGGAGGATTATCAACCATAAGGGATGCTTCATTTTCGAAATGTTTTTTCTGCAGCCTATTCAGAGTTCTCCTCCTGTTGTCTTTCCTTTAATTTGATGTTTGCAGTTTGGGGTGAGGGCCTTGGACAAACCGTGGCATTTGACGGTTACTGACTAGATTTGGATGAATGTTTGCACAGCCCGTTTGAGCTGAAACTGGTTGTAGCAGCTAAACCGAGGCAAAGCATGGAACAAAATCAGATGGAAAGCTAGCAATAGGTAAAGCCACACCTTTCACAGCCTGAAATGATTTTGACCTGAAAACACACCCAGCCCGAGAGATCAGTGAGTTCAGTGTGGAAATACAAGTACGTCTGTGTGCGTGTGTGTGTTTGTTTTGGTTTCGGTTATCTTTGCTTCCTTGGCCTCTTGTTCATGGTCGACAGCCAGACACACACTCTTCTTTTTTGAGAGGGGAATATGCTTTGTGTCTGTACTGAGAGTTCCTTTCACAGTCCAGGGTTTGTTGGTGTCTGTAGAATGGTGTCTGTCCAGGCTGTTCCAGAATGGTTGTTGAACAGGTTTAATAATAATAATAATAATAATAATAATCCTTGCATTTGATATAGCGCTTTTCACGCCGGGAGGACGTCCCAAAGCGCTTCAAATATGTATACAGTGTGTATATATATATATATTTATATATTAATTGCTTAGTACATTGATATTCATGAGAGAATGATACCAAAATCACCATCTGCTGAGTGCTTCAAAATGTCTTGAGTTTCTTTGTTTTGGGCTTTTTACGTCAACACACAACTTGTGATGATAAATCAGCCTCACAACACAAAGTAACTGCAAACACAGTCCACACCCAGTCAATAATCACCTCAGGCTGCTGTTTAATGTTTCCAAGGCTGCTGTTTGGTAGTCTAGCTTTATGAAGTCTTAAGGGCATTGTGTTTAAGATCAGAGTCAGAGCGTAATGTTGGAGCTGCAAATTTCTCTCCCGGAACTTAAATAAGAATCTCGGACTTAACGTTTGCTGACATCAAAGTACTAAGGATGGCCAAGATCAGCACAAGGGAGAACGAGGCTCAATGAAACGACGCGATTAAAAACGGGAGGTGCTTTTAATGGGGTTAGCAGACGGCATCATGTCCTTCTGAGCTTTTGTAACTCAGCAGCGCTTTGATGTTCAAAGCTTTGGTGGGAGGAGTGCATTCCCTAAGCTACCCCAATCTCCATGTGCTCCCAGCCCGACCTTGCTCCCACACAGCTAGAGCATTGAGTGCAGAGGGCACTCCTCTCCTCCCAGCTGTGCAGAGAGCAAAGCTCATTGCAGCAGAAGGGAGACAAACAGGCGAGCAAAGACATTTTCCAGTTATAATAATAATCCTCGCATTTGATATCACCTTGAGACATCTCAAAGCGCTTCACAGAATATACTGTAAAGTGAATTGACTGTACATTTACGGGTGAAACATGGCAGCCAATTGCGCATGGCAATTAGTTGTGGCGACCGCTTTAAGTTTTATTGCTAACATTTAGCTGTCCTCTGGACCGTGTTGTTTTATCTTTATGTAAACCTGGCTCTGCAGCCTCGCAGGATGCTCCATAAACCGTGAAGAAAAAAGCTTCACAGAGATATTATCTGCCACGCTCTGGCACAGATGATAGATGGGAGCTCAAATCGCCTGCCCCTCAAATATGTTTCTATGTTTTTTTTTAAAAAATAAAAGAGTATAAATAAATGTGACATATTTTGCGGCAGACATTTGAGAGGATTGTGAGGTGTGATGAAGCCGTTTGTATATTCACACAGAGTCAAATCCAGAGATTGTGTGTGAGGGTAAGGCAACCCGACCAATTTATTTTATACACTGAAAGATTCTTCAACAGTCCAAGCATTATTCCAATGGGGTAGGGAGGAGGCAGTAGAGGAGAAGGTGGGGTGGGGGGAGTGGGAGAACATTGCACACACACGACATCACAACAAATTTCTCCACCTGTATCTCTTCCAGATCAAATCTTCACTGTGCAACACTGCAGATTAATTCTCTGTTTTTACATCAACAAGATATAACCCTTGGTCTGCTAGTCTCACTTCGTAACTTTCTGCTTAACATAGCAACCTTGGGCCCTGGACGTCATTTTGAGGGTAGAATGCCCCAAATCACACACAATGGGGGGCTGGTGGGGGGGGAGAGAGACGCTTCATTTATGATATAAAGTTTTAAAGGTTGGAGCTCGAGCGGTGTTGCAGGCGATGGGCTTCGTATTTTTTCTGTGTCTGAAGTCAGAACACGCCTCAAAGGGGTGGGGGGATCATTACAAAGAGGGAATAATCCATCATTATTCAGCATTCCCACCAGACGGACACGAGAAGCACCTCCAGCACTGAGGGAAATCACTTGCCTTAAGCACAAAGCATTAAACAGGCACAGATCCATTTTATGAATTGCTCGACCGCAAACTCAAACTCAATAACCTTTACCTGCTCACCTGACCCTGAGTTTCCCCGGGAATAAAAATTGAAAGATGACATTCTCTCAGCCTATAGCCCTGAGCACCTGCACAGGTGGCCAGTGTATGCTGATGCCTGAGGAGAGTTGAGGTTTATCACCTCCCCACATGCTTTTAACTGCTCATATCTCCGTGTCTATCTCACCAACTCAATAAATAGTTCTGGCTGGTGCCAAACCAAATAAAGGTTTCATTGTGGATCATGTGTACATGTTTTTTTTAAAAGAACGCCCAAACCTGGGAATAGTTGATACGGTTTGTAAGAACACTGCCTTTCAGCTTATGTGCCGTGGACTTCGCTCAAGCAGTGGGTTCTGAAGTTTGGTGAGTGATCGCAGTGATGAGCTTGAATTCTGATTGATCACAGACCAGATGACATAATATATAATAATCTTTACAGTTGATATAGCTCTTTCTAGATCACGTCTTCGAGATGTCTCAAAGCACTGCACAGAATATACTGTAAAGTGAATTGACTGTATATATTTGTGGGCAAAAAGCAGCAGCCAATTGTGCACAGCAGCGTCTCACAATGATGATTATGTTTTGTAAGGGATTCTGACTTCCCGCCCACAGCACAGCTCTCTAACCCGCTCCGTCTCTCCCCCAGTTTCCAGCCCCAGCGACCGGCACTGAACGCTGTTATCTTCCCGCTGCTCCACGAAGGCCTGGCCGACGTGATCAGAGACGTGCCCATGATCCACCTGGACGAGATCACGCTGTTTAAGAGCCGAGTGGCTGAAGAGCCTCTGCATCTCTGGTGGTGACACCGATACCTGCCGACGTTTACAACTGTTTGATGGAAGAAAGCTGGCTTGAACAGAACGCTGGTGGCCTCATAAGTGGTGACACCCTCCCTGGGTCTCCCCAGCGGTAGAAAACACTGGAACCTTTTGACATTTTCAGAAAAGACTGAAATGACTAAAACCAGGGGAAAAAGCACTCCATTGTTGGATGGTTGGAAACAATAGATTCCCCTCCCTCCCACCCCTCCCCGCCCGCCCCCTTTCCCCCTGTTTTGTTTACTTACAGAGCGCCACAGAATGTGGGCAGCCACTCGCACAGTGTTAGGTGTAATACATTTCCAAACCTCCCTCCTACATCATGCACTTGCCCAGGTCTTTCCAGAGATTGGACTGTGGGGAATGTTGTTTATCATTGTTAGACAGTGAGGTGGATGTTTGTGTGTGTGGGTTGAAGCTGGGCCGGGATTGCTGTAGACTTGTCTCTCCTTGTCCATCTGCTTTGAGCATCAGGATTCAATCTGAGGTTTGTGAGCAGTGACAATACAAATAGTGAGACAAAGTGAGTACTCTCTCTCTCTGGGCCTAAAGTTCTAGCCCCAAATTGAGACTTGAGCTGACGCTGCAGTGCAGTATTGGGGAGCCATTGATCATCGAAGTTGCCATCCTTTGGATTAGATGTTAAACTGAGATCTGCTTTGCCTGTTGGGGTGGGCGCTTAAGATTCTGCGACGCTATATAAAAGGAGAAGGGCCTTTCCCTCCACGTCCTGACCAACAATCTCCCAAATAAAGGGCTCATTCGCTTCATGGCTGTTTGTCAGACCTCGCTGTGTTCTAATACAGTGACTACACTCAACAGTAATAATTACCGGTGAAACATGTTGCGATGTTTTGACATTACAGGCATTGAAAAATAAATAATAATAATCCTTGCATTTGATATGCAAGTATTATAACAAAAAAAATCAAGGATCTGCTACAAATGTGTGTTAAATCAGGAAGAGAATTTAAAATGTGTCTTTGGCCCGGACGTGAAGAATTCCAAAGACAGTGAAGTCAGCCTCAGTAAAGCCGAGCCTCTGTTGTTAGTCTTTGTTTCTTAAATGAGTCACTTTGACCATTCCCCGAACGACCTTGGGGGCATGGATCCTGGGCTGTGCTGTTAGCATCTCTTGGTTGGAGTAGCAGAGGCAATGCTAGAGAACCTTGGCTTCCCCTGAGCTAGCGAAGGGAAACCAAACACGATTGTGATCACTTCATCTTCTCTCTCCCCACCCCCCACTAGGACAGACTTCAAATGGGGACAGAGTCGGCCCTTATCTGTGACGCATCCCCTGTGACTTAGGCTCACGCTGAATGGCCGCATTGACAAATAGCAGCAATATCCGGTAAAACCCTCAACAGAGCTTGTGAGTATTCCCAGGGCCTGGACTGAGCTGTGGGAGATCCACGTTTCACCCACAAAATATAGTCACTACACTTTACTGTGTATCCTGTGAAGCGCTTTGAGATGTCTCCAAGACATGATAAGGCGCTGTATTAAGTGCAAGGATTATTATTATTATCCCATGTTGGGCCCTGTGTGGAGGGAGCTGGCTGCTCTGCTCAGGATGGCGGTGCAGGTGGTACAATGAGGCTCAGCAGCCCTGGGCCAGTCAGTCAAAATCAGCCACAAATTAATTCTCTTCAGCCGACTGGCTGTCCAGTGCTTGTGTCAGTCGGGGGTGAGGAGAGACGCAGCTTCTTGTGATGCCCCCGAGGTCTGGAACTCTCCTGCAATCCCTGCCCACTTTCAAATCCCACCTAAAGACCTTCCTTTGTGACTGTGCTTACGGTCACCCCCTCTCCCCCCCTCCCTCCCTCTCCCCCTGGCTGGGTGTCAGACTCCGCCACTGTGCAGCTCTCCGGAGACCCTACCCCGCCTGAAGGGCACTAGATAAATGCAAGTTGTTGTTGTGGATGGTCTGTGCCAACATTGTGAAGGTTGCTGCTGGGAGAACGGCCCTCGGGCAGATTGCTGGAGGCTGCTATGCACATGTGGAGACTGGGTTAACATGTTGAGGGGTTTGAGAGGAGGGAATAGATTCACGCACGCAATAGGAATAACTACTCTGCAGGACCTCAGAGATGCTGAGCTCTTACTGTCTATCACTGAGCTCATCAGCGTCACCAAGTGGAACAGAGGGGGCAGTGCAGCTATTCAGTTCTGCAGCTCTTTGGTTATCAAAGATCATCATTTTCACATCATTTTGTGACTGTGTGGATCTACAGTATTAGGAAGTAACATGAATCATGAATAGTCATTCACTCCTCCCCCCCACCCCCACCATCAAAAAACAATCTGCACATGGGTGTTATATTTTTAAAGTATTGCTCTGTGATGTCGAACAAAATCAGACTGTTTCTAATCAGAGTTCTTTATCTCAGGAGGAACACTATCAGTATTTGAACATATTACCAGTGATATTAACAGTGATCCGCCAATCGACTAACAACCGGGTTCCTGCTTACTGCCAGGTAAACAGAGGCGTGAGTTTGGAGTAAGGAAACTTTACTAATATTTTGCCCTGCCTGGGAATCAAACCCAGGTCTTCTCACTTATGAGGCGAGTGCTCTAGCCACTAAGCTACAGGACTCCACTAGTTTTCATACCTAGAATCAGTGCAGTGCAAAATGTGTTTAACTTATTACTGAGCACAGACTTTGTTCGATTTTAAAGGGGGAAAAAAAAGTTGTTTACTCTTAATGCCAAATATAATCCCGTAGCAGAGCATGCTGCTATTCAGTGGGTGTGATAAATATTAGCGAGGCAGGAGAATTAACCAGAGATGAAAATAACTTGTTGGTATGTACTAAGTGCATGCTTTCTCCGGCTTTCAAATAAATTGCTGCGTGTTATATTTCTTGTTTAGTACAAGATTATGTGACAGGAGGGGAGGGGGAAGCAACCTTGGGAATTGACAGATTAAAAATTCATAGCAGCTTTCTATCCCCTGCAATGTTTCCCCTTCCCCCTCCCCCCACCCACCACCTCCTACCCCACCTCCCACTCCATAAGGCATTGACTTATTGCTGAGGTGCCGTTCCACAGCTGCTTCTGTCACCAGTAAAAGTGGCCATTCTTCATGAGTAAGTCTGGTCAGAAATTGTTGGCAGGTCATTGCACTGAGGGTGTGTATGTGTGAGGGTGAGGGTGAGTAATACAACAGCCAAATGCCCACATTCACACAGTTTCCAGCACAGATTGGATAACAATCACGAGTAGGAACATTGAGGTCAAAACTGTGGTTTTCCCAGATCAGTTTCTTGATTATCACTAATTAAAGAAATTGTTGTTACAAAAAATCATGCCCTAGTTGACATTCATGTTCATAGCATAATATTTCTATGTATTGGTTGGACCACAAAATCCATTTGTCTTGTATTTGATTTGTACAGAACAGCTGCCGAGCCCTGACTTGTGGGTGTAAAAGTCCTGAAAATGATAGTGAAGGATTCAGTCAGTCTCGACAGTGCACCACACAGGGCTGACACCGACACTGTTTTAGCGAGCTGTGCAATTCATGCTGCAATAAATATGATGGACCCCACCCCCCCCACCTCCCAACAGGCGAAAAAGAATGGAATAACAGCCAGTGTTTGGTGTGGATTAAAACTATGTTTTGATGGATGGGCGCAGACAATAATACAAGCTGTACACTCCACCGCGCGCACACAACCCCACACAGTCTCACAAGGCATAGACACAGAGACAAACAAAAACCCACGTACAGCATGCTATACGCAGGTCAAGTTACTGGCTTACTGGATGCGGCCTTGACTTGGTTACACATTCATGTTATATGCAGGAGAGAAGCCACAGAGACACCAATGCCCTTCCTCTAGCAAGGTTATCCCCCCACCCCCGCTTCCGAGAATCTCAGTTGCTGGAGCCAATTACATTTTATAGGAAACAAATGATGATTTGGCATTCAGTGCAAGTGGATAACATTCCAAAGGAGGAAGAAATTATGTTATAAACCAACAGAATAAAACTTGAGTGGTGTGGGGTTGTAGCTCCATGACTGTTTGTGGGACACTGCTGTGTGCAATCAGCTGCTACGTTTTGTCCACAAAATACACAGTCACCACACTTTACAGTATATTCTGTGAAGCTCTTCGAGACAATAAGGCGCGATATCAAATGCAACGTTCATTATTATTATTATTATTTCTGCATGAGTTGCTGAGGAAGGGAGGCTTTGGGACTGTTGTGGATAGTAATTATCAACTCCACTGAACTCGCTGTGAGCTGCCTGGTGCCTTTCTGAAGGTCCTGTGCTGAGTAAAGTCGGGAAGAAATGGGCCCAATTTTTCTGATAGAGTTAGCCCACAACCGATCTCTCTCAGGGAGTGTCTGTCTGTCTGTCGAGTTTTAGTGCATTTAAGAATAAAAAAATAGAAATGCTGCAGTGTGACAAAGAGCTTTGTTCCTGTACTTCAAACCTCATCACTGTGAATGCAGCCCACTTGCGAGATGTGTTTAATGCTCGACACAGCTGACAGGACACCAGTCTGTATTGCATTGACTTTCTATTCCGCAGACTTGCTGGGATCAGCTGGAATGGTTTCAGCTCCTGGCAGAGAGGCTGTGGTGGAGGACAAAGTGAAGAGCTTTTCTCAGGGAGAGAGGAAAGTAACACCTGCATCACAATCTCTCAGTGTCTCACAGCCCCGGGTGTCCATGACTCTCCTATCTGCGGGAACTGTTCAGCACAAGGTTGTTCGTGAACTGGATTGCATTTCAAGGACTTTAGAGTGTAAATTGAAACATGGTGCATCCAACCCACATGGAATATCGTGTGCAGATACTGAGCATCCGAACTTCAGAAGGACGTCTCTACTCAGAGGAAGGTTCGGAGAGGAGAGAGACCTGCATTATTTCAGGACATAGGACTCAAAATCAATATACAATGATTATAATCTGTGCATTTGATATATTGTTTTCGGCAAATTGGCTGCCACGTTTCGCCTACAGAATACAATCACCACCCTTTACAGTATTACCCTGGGAAGTGCTTTGAGATGTCCTCCTAACGTGAAAGACTCGACATCAAACGGACAGACCGTTATTACCAGTGATTTGATTGCAACAGACAGTGGCTCAGACCTGCGAGCTACTCAGATTGTGTGGCTCCATTTCCAATGGGCTTCACCAGCTGATCATCGGAGCAGCTACAGGAG